TTCCTGTATTTTAAGAACTGGACATTTCTTAATAATAATCTTTGCTAACTGGAAACAAATACAAGTGGTCTCAATTAGTCTGTCTTTCTACTATAGGCCTTGGAGGTAATTGCATTCTGCTGGGGAGAAGGCTGCACTGTGTTTTCATCATTTGGCTTGATTCAAAGCAAAGCTTGATTTGAGAAACATAAAACAAAAACATCTTTCAAATCATGTTCTGTTTACCAAATGGAACTTTGGGGGAAGCTCAGGTGGGAATACTCTGCACTGTGTATACTACAGGAAAACACAAAGTCAGATTGCTTAGACGCCAACACTAACAGAAGGTGCATCACACTCAATGAAAATGTAGCGTTCGAGCTGTTTATAGCAACAGGATTAAATATTCACATATACGCTATCAAGGTTGTGGGTTAGCAATTTTAGTTCTAGTGAAAGTTATATTGACCTGAAACATCAACACTAACGTAAACAGCATTAACATCATGTTGAAAAGTATGCAAAAGATTAAAAACTATTTCTTAGTGCATGATTATAAATTTAAAGACTTTAAGTATAATTTTAAAAAGCTTTTAGAGAAAGTTTTTAGAAGACACTATATGCAGTTGTTTAATTTGCTATAGATAATATTTTGATAGACATTTCATTCCCCACTTCCCGTTCTCTAGGGTTTAAAGTTAAACCATAAAATATAGCTACTTAAAGAAATAGAAAATTATTTGTTTCCATCAAAACTAATTTATTTATGTCTAACGCACATCAAGAACAACAGGTAAATAACTGAATTCCACTATTCCCTTTCTCCATTTACATTTTTAAAATATTAAATTTGCTATTACCTGTAACATTCTTGGTAGGAGTGGGAGAGATGTGGGGGCAGCCCGCCAACCAAGCAACCCAAGATCTTTCATTGAAACCATTTTTTCCCAAATGTGTTCTATTATCCTTTTCTGAGTAATTACCAGAACTTTAATGAAAGTCATCTTGTGTGGGACTCTAAAAGCAGCTGACGTCTAGCAAGTTTCCAGCATGAGTAAAGCATATTAATCTACGTTCAGTAAAATGCCTCCTTACAACTGTAACTCCGGTCAGGCTCAACCGTGGGAAGACAGTGTCGGTTCCCAGCGTGGAGTCCCTAGCTGGATTCCGATCCTAGGCTCTTGCTCCTCGAGCTGGCATAGGTTGGAAATGCTGCGGCAACAGCATGTACTCAGCTTTTTGAAATGGGAGAGGAGCCAGTGCAGCAACTTTTCTGCCCAATTAAAGAGCATTGTCTACAGCAGGCCTACACAACATAAGGCCTGCAGACTGCACACAGCCATGAAGCAATTGTTCATGACCCACCCACAGATTTGGGAAGGGAAGCAAGTAGAAGGATTGGCAACACGACACCCATGTCAGCAAGAAGACATGAGGCTGCTCTACAGACTCCGCCTCTGTGTTCACATGTTACAGTGCCATGTATCTAAACTCAAGATGGCAATCAACGTGAGCTGCCAATCCTCCTAACAAAGGCTTCCATGACTGCAGGGCGGCACTGCTACAAGCGCTCCCCAAAGGCAGGAACTGGACTGAAATGCAGTTCTGAAAACCCAGATGCATTTACCTGTGGCATACTCTTACAACAGCTGGTAAGTATGTACCAGTGATCCCTACAGCATACATTTTCTTCACTAGAATGTGCTTTCATCTTGTCTCTTGATCCTGTCATTTGGTTGCCAGTAGGTGATCAAATAACTTATTGCTCAAAGAACACTTTCAAGAATGAGCATAGACAGGAATAAGGTCATGGAATAAGGTAGTGTGAAGAGCTCCAAGATTAGTTTCTCCACCAAATGTGACAGAATCAATTATTTTAGCATGCTAGAATCTAACTGAGTACTTTTTCGTATCAACAAGAACGCTTATATAGAAATATAAGATAGATAGATAATATTGGTGCATTTCAGCAACACATAGAACGCAGCCATGAGATTAGGACCTATATTCCCAGTGTAGCCTGCTAGTACCAGGATCACTACAAAGGCTTTCTGCTCCAGAAACCGGGATCCTGTATTTGGATCTATCTGGTAGTTTCTGAGGGGCAGCCAACGAGGCAAACCAGAGAAGTGGAAGCAGCTTGTCTGGCCTATGACCGGAAGGCAGGGACAGGGTCCGTCTCCAAGTTTTCCTTCTTTCGTTGTAACCAGGCATTTAGGGAAATCATTGGTTGACCACGGCAATAAGAAAGGATAGACTTCAGCCATCACACAATGAAAAATATTATGGTTTGTTTGTGTTTGCTTGTCACAGAATTGGAAATGTCACTGAACAAAGGAACATCTATGGCCTTCATCAAGCAATGACTACCATTCTTGATGTAAGGGGACAATCTGATATCAAAATTGCTTTGTCACAATATTTAAATTACTCACTTTTCCACACCAAAAAAATGCACAAATGACACCAAAAAATAGGAAAGTATAACCCACCACAAAAAAAGCTAAGATAAACCATTCCTAAGGCAGCCCAGACATACTTATCAAAGACATTAACTATCATAATTATTTATGAAGGGATTAATAAATAAATTAAATTAGGCAATCTAAGTGTGAGTAAGTAAAAATATCAACAAAGGAATAGAAAAATATTTTATAAATACGAATACTGGAACTGAAAAATATAAGAGATGAAAAATCTTAATTCACAAGATGTGTTCCATGGTCCATTTTAGCAGGCAAAGGAAAGAACTGGCCAGCATGCATTGGAGTTAAGAAGTTAGCAGAGGAAACACACACAGCCTGACAGACCTATGGGACACCACTGAGCACACTAACACAGTACGGAAGTTCTAGAACGACAAGAGACCAAAATGGATAGGAAAAACGAAAAACGTTATTCAAAACCTCCCAGAGTTTGATTGACAACATGAATCTATATGTTGGGAATCTTGAAACTCCAAGCAGGACAAACTCAAAGAGATCCATTACAAGATATATGATTGAATGATTAAAAGTAAGAGACAAGGAGAAAAAGTCTTGTAAGGAGCAGAAATGCAGGGATTCATCATATGCTCCGAATCCTCAGTAAATTACAGGCTGTTTCTCATGAGAAATTCCTGAGGCCAAAGGAAATAGGATAAGCTTTGTGAAATACAGAAAGGAAAAAACAGGTAAGCCAAGAGCTTAATCTAGAAAACCAGTCCTTCAGAAATGAAAACTAAGGTACTGGAAGATAACAAAACCTAGGAGAATTCGTTGATAGTAGCCTAATCAGCAAGAGTTGCAGAAGGGGGGTCCTTCCACATAAACAAAAGGATACCAGACAGAAACTAAAATAATATAAAGAAATAAAACAACTGTTAAGATAGTCCCATAAGCACATCTCAGTGCGGATCTTGACATGTAACCTTTATTTCTTAATTCTATTGGATTATTTTTTACTTCAAATATGAATGCTGTACTTAAGTCATTTCCCCACCTCTAACTTCTCTGATACCTGCCTCCCCCAACTGCTCCCTGTCAAATTCATGGCCTCTTTTTCTTTAATTATAACTGTTACATATATATATATATAAATATATAAATATATTTATTTTATATATATTTATAAAACATATAAATATATAATATATTAAAACATATAAAATATATAAATATAACCTTCTGAGTCCATTTAGTGTTGCTAGTATGTGTACATTTTTAGAACCAAGCAGTACCCAACCTTAACTGATACACATACAGGAAATATTGTATAAGGGGGACAGAAGGACCACAGGAACCAGAGGACCAGGAAATGTGCTGTGACATTGTGTCTTCAATATACCACATGGAAGCTGCACCCATGAAATCTTGACAATATGGTTACCTAAATAAGACCTGATTAGTTAACATGCGAATGTGCATAGGGGAATTCTCATGGGGCTTTACCCTAGGTGGACCATAATCCCTCTTTTTATTTTCTGTTTGATTTTAAAGAACACACCAAAGAATGTAAACTTATGTTAATGTCCAAATAACACACAAAGATGAATTTGTAACAACATAGGATACCAGGGCCTGTGGATGTTTAATGTGAGTGCTCTACTGTTGAACTATAACCCTGTTCTGGTTAGTTTTATGACAACTTAGCACAAGCTAGAGTCATTAGAGAGGGGGGAACCTCAACTGAGAAAGTGCCTGTACAAGATCAAGCTTTAGGAAGTCTGTTGTATGATATTTTGTTTGTGTTCTGCCAAATAAAGCTTGCCTGGAGATCAGAGAGCGGAGCTAGGCACTAGTTAACCACAGAGGCCAGGCAGTGGTGGCTCACACCTTTAATCCCAGCACTTGGGAGAAGGAACCAGGAAGATCAGGAGTTCAAGGCCACCCTGAGCTACATGAGACTGAACCAGTCTAAAGAGAAACAGAGCCAGGCAGAGGTGGTGCACGCCCTTAATCCCAGCACTAGGGTGGTGGAGACAGGAATATAAGGCAGGTATAGACAGGATCTCAGCCCTCATTGGGTCTGAGGATTCATAGAGGTAAGAAGCTTTTAACGGCTGCTGCTCTGCTTCTCTGCTCTTCCAGCTTTCACCCTGACTCCAGGTTTTTATTGTTAAGACTAATTAGGATCATGTTTCACAAGTCTGTATGGTATTTTCTTAATTAGTGATTCACAGAGGACAGCCCAGCCATTGTAGGGGAGCCATCCCTGGGCTGATGTTCTTCAGTTCTGTAAGAAAGCAGGCTGAGCAAGCTAGGGGAACAAGCCAGTAAGCAGCCCTCCTTCACGTCCTCTTCATCAGTTCCTGCCTCCAGGTTCCTGCTCTGTTTAAGTTCCTATCCTGGCTTCCTTCAATGACAGACTATGATGATGAAGTATAAGCCACATAAACTCTTTCCTCTTCAAGTTGCTTTGGTCATGGTGTTTCATCATAGCAACAGTGGCCCTTAGACAATGCATAACCCAAAGGGCACTTATGAAAAGCCCACACGTAGCATCACACTCAATAATGAAAGAATGAAACTTTTCCTCCAAGATCAGGAACAAAATAATTGCTATTTAACATTTTATAGGAAGCTCAAGCCAAAGCAATTACCCCAGAAAAAATAAACTAAAAAAAAAATCCAAATCAATGCCCTTTACAGGTATGGAGAAGTAAAACTATTTCTATTTACACATGACATGATTCTACATATACAAAATCATGTATATTTTTCAGAGGCAAATTAAAAGATTCTGCTAGAGTCAATAAATCAGTTCAGTGAAGCTGCAAATTAGGAAAATAAATAAGAAATAAGTTTATTTCTATACAGTAGCAATAAAACTGAAATAAAAATTAAGAAACTAATTCTACTTACAAAAGTACTCAAAAGGATAAACTATATATAAACTAAACCATGCCAGTGAAAAATGTGTACACTGGAAACCATGAAACCTTGTGGACTAATGAAGTCCAAGACAAATTGTAACACATTCCTGTTTCTGAACTAATGTTAAGAGGAAGATCAATTTTTCTTAAAAAAAATAAACAGTGCCTTGAATTCATATGGAATTTCAGAGGATTCAAACCACCCAAACAATATCTTAAAGACAAAAAATGGTTGGAGTATTTACATTATTTAATTTCAAACCTTGCTACAAACCTAAAATAACAGAAACAGCGTATTAAGGGCATAGTGATAACATGTATCCAATAGAACTGAGTCCAGAACAGATGCAGACTTTCTGCCCAATTGCTTTCTTTCTTTCTTTCTTTCTTTCTTTCTTTCTTTCTTTCTTTCTTTCTTTCTTTCTTAGATTTATTTTATTTTACATGTATGAGCATTTTTTTTTTCTGAATGTATCTCTGTGTACAACATGCCTGCCTGGTGCCTGGGAGAGCAGAAGAGGTGACGAGGTCCCCTGGAACTGGAGTTACAAGTAGTTGCGAGGCACCATGTGGGAGCTAGGAATTGAACCTAGATCCTCTGCAAGAGCAACAAGAGCTTTTAACCACTGATCCGTCTTTATCTTCAGTCCTGCCAACTGATGTTCAACAAGCACGAACAGAACATTCAATCAGGAAATAAATACATTCAGCAAATGGTACAGGGACAAATGGGTAGCCACATATAAAATAAAGAGACTGCATGCATCCCCACCACCTCTAACCATTATACAAATTAATGCAAAATAGATCCTTGACCTCAATACAAGAGCTTTAATTATGCAATTAGTAGAAAAAAAAACAGAGTTAGATCTTTATGACCTCAAAGGTGGCAACTGAGTCTTTGATGTGTACAGAACAAATTAGCCACAAAAAAATAAAAACAGTTATACTTGATAAAAATCAATAAATTTTTGTCTCAAAATACATTACTTACTGTCTATATGAAGAGGAAACCATTGACAGGTGGAATTTTTTTTCAAATCATATATCTGCTGAGACATTACTATTAGGATGTGTAAAAATATTGCTCAACAATAAAAAGAAGTATTCATACAACAAAAAAATAAATGCTCAAAATAAAGTATTCAAAGCATGACCCAAGCACCTCCCTCTAGAACGCACGTCTTAAAGCTCTCCCACCTCAATGCTGCCATAGTAAGGATGAAGCCTCTAGGATACTAACCTGCAGCTAAAAATCCCACTGAAACCACAGCACATGGTTCTTTTTACGTAATATTCACAAGAGGCAAAATGACAGAAAATAAAATAGTCGTAACTAAAAAAATTACAATTCTTTCTAAACAATAGAAGTTCAGAGAAAAAGCAGACACCTGTTCACCTAAGTATCTACTGATACAGTTTGAGTTATCTTCCTGGGACGGTCTCAAGGGAGACACTTTTGGCGGTGGTGATGTCCCGTGTGTGTGTGGTTTCAATGCTCACTCCTCACAGCTGTGCATATGTCGCTCTTCTTTTCCGTTTGTTATTCTTTTTTATTTGAGGTTCTTCTCTAATGTTTGGTTTGGTTTTGTCTTCTGTTGCTTAGAAAAAGAAAATAGAATGACATACCCAGGTCTAGCATTAAATTATAATTATTTTTAAGAGAGAAAATCAAACACATAAAGAAATACAAATAAGACACTCCCTAAAATTTTCATTACATTGCAAGCTACAAATGTGCATATTTTCCATAATTCAATTCAAATATTTCCAGATTTTCATCAAGAGAGAAAAGACCAACATTTGGCCTCGACCATGTGGTAGAGGTTAGTTAAGAATCCTAAGACAGGGCTTAGGGAGCTTGGCTACAATACTCTACACCCTGCGTTCAATCCCCAGCACCACAAAAAAAGTAAGGATCGTTTATTTTTATTTTATGTGTTTTGCTTTATGAGTGTTTCCTCTACGTGTATAAAGGGCATGTCATGATGTCATATGTACCTAGTGCCTGTGGAGACCAGAAGAGGGCACTAAATCCCCTGGAACTGAGGTAGACAGTTGTAAACCATCATTTAGGTGATGGGAAACAAACCCTGGTCCTCTGAAAGAGCAGCAAATGCTCTAAACTGCTGAGTCAACTCTCTAGCCCTATTTTTGTTAATTACAAAGATAATAATACTTAATATTTTATTATATTTTGAAGAAAATATGTTTTCAAAGTTTTAATATTTGACATACAAATATGTTCACTATACCAACTTTGCAGCAAGGTACTGTTTACCTTGCATATCAATATGGCTACAAATGGGCATCTAACTGTTAACAAATAAATTACTTCTTAAAATTAGATGTCTACTAACTAACATCACTAGTCACAAGCTCATTTTGGAAATGTTCTCAAACAAATTTTCTGAATGTATTTCTTAACTTAAAACCAAAAAAGAGAATATTTTGTGCGGTTCTGAGGAAATGACTCCATGGACAAATATGCGTTGTGCAAGTGAAGCCCAGAGTTTGGGCGCCCGGAGCCAACATACCGGCAGGCGAGCGCCATGACCCGCTTGTAAGGCCAGCACTCAGCAGGAAGAAAGAGTGGACTCCCCAGGGAAAGTGAGATACATGAATGTGTGAGCTCTGGAGTCAGCAGGGGATGCTGTCTCCATAAATAAAGCAGAAAGCAATCCAAGACGACCTAACAGTGACCTTTGGCCTGCACACACATGCAGCAGAACACAGGAGAATTCAAATACACATACCACACACACATACACTTGCAAAGAGAAAGAGAGAGAATGTTTTATAGGTAACTATAGACTTAGTGTTGTGTATACTCCTCAACATATTATGGAGGAGACATGTTGCTATTGACACACAGCAGGCCTGTGATCTGAATGCAGAGAAGATGAAAAAAATGAAGGATTTCCCAAGGCTAAGTATACAACTTTTTTTCAAATATTATGGTTAAATACCCCTTTAAGTAAACAAAAATCAAAATGAAACAAAGGAAGGTAAGCTTGTTTCCTTTATTCATTCACTGGGAAAATATCAACACAAAATAAACATAACAGCTACATCTCATCCACATCTTTATATAGCCGATTTGTAACACACTCCAGCCATTGTGTCTTGTTTGACTCACGCAGGCTTACCTGTGTGGAAAGGGGATCTGCTGCATTCTTAATGGTAGCTAGGAGCATCCTATTAAATCTAGGGTCCATGAAAATCTATGTTGTCCAGATGTTTGTCCAAGAATCAGCTTCTGTGATAATAACGTGGCGTGGCCCTTGTGGGAGGACTCCTAGCCTACCTTTGTCAAAATTGTTCGCATTTAATGGCATCCGTTTTTATATCTTTTGCTCTCTGCCATGTCTTATGAAACAGGCATCTTCTTTAGTGTATCCATTATGGAAAATACTTGGTTTTGCTCTTAAACAGGTAAACATATTGTCTGGGCTTACTTGCTCATTTGCTAAACCAAAAAAACAAAAAAAAACAGTATAAGTGTTTTTATGTCTTTTTTGTTTTGCCGTATAAATTCCTCCTAGCCATTATTAATCTATATATCATGACTTTTTTCTCATTCTTGCTAACTGAATAGTAATTATTGATATGTCAAAAAGCACAATAACTTTACTCCTGACCTCTCTTAGAAGATTCAAGACCCTTAGATACATAATAGTGGCATACATCACTTTGTTTTCTGGTTTTTTTGAGACAGGATCTCTTCACACAGCCTTGACTCTCCTAGAGCTTTCTGTGTAGACCAGGCTGTCCTCAAACTCAGAGAGATCTGCCTGCCTCTACCTCCAAAGCACTGGGACTAAAGGCATGTGCCTTGACACCTGGTCCAAGGTTACTCTGTGTTACTGGCCTCCTTTTACTGTGAATACAAAAGGCAGTTGCATTGATGGTGATACCTTCCAATGGGAAAATACCTGCTTAAGGAGGAAAGTGCGTAAGAAGAAATCCAACCCCTCTGAGACACTGTCCAAATGCAAACTTCCAGAATGCAAGCCTTCTTTGGACTTTTGTAATATATTTAGCAGAGTCATCATTTAAGACCCTATGTTTTTGTTTGTTTGTTTGTATATTTTTGTTTGTTTTTACATCCCAATCAAAGTGTGTTCTCCCTCCCCTCTTTTCAGTTCCCCCTCATCCCATCCATTCCTCCTCCACTGTTTCTCTTCAGATACAGGCAGGCCTTCCATGGATATCAGCTAGCCATCATATATATCAAGTTGCAGAGAGACTAGGCACTTCTTCTATTAAGGCTGGATGAGGCAATCCAGTAGGAGGAATGGATCCCAGAAGCATGCAGCACAGTCAGAGAAAACCCCTGCTCTCACTGTTAGGAGTCTGACGAGAAGACCAGGTTACACAATTGTAACACATATGCAGAGGGCCTCGGTCAGTCCTGTGCAGGTCAGTCCCGTGCAGGTCAATCCCGTGCAGGCTCCCTGGTTGTCATTTCAGTCTCTGTGAGGCCTTATGAGGCCAGGTCAGCTGATGCTGCGGGTTTTCTTGTGGTGCTCTTGATACCACTGGTTCCTACAATCCTTCCTCCCTCTCTTCTGCAGGATTCCCCAAGCTCCACCTAATGTTTGGCTGTGGATCTCTACATGTTTCCATCAGTTTCTGGGTGAAGTTTTTCTGATGACAATTGGGCTAGGCACCGATCTATGAAAGCCCTGCTTTTTTTATTTTATTAGATTTCTTTATATTGTTTTATGTGTGAATATTTTGCCTGCATGTCTTTATGAGCACCATGTGTATGTCTGGTGCCTGAGGAGATCAGAACAGGACAACAGATCCCCTGGAACTGGAGGTGTGAACCACTATGTGAGTGCTAGGAACTGAGCCCTAGACCGCTGTAGGAACAAGTACTCATAGCCACTGGGCCATCCTTCCAGCCCCTTAGTCAGTAACTCAAAGCCCAACTTCCTGGGCACATAAAGAAAGCTGAAGTAGGGAATGACATCACTAACAATGGAGATGCTTCGCTGTTTTTAACTTACATTCTCACTCCACTCATGCCCACAGCTGTAATTAAATCTCTTGCTGCCTGAAGCCAAATAGAAGGTTATGTTCTCTTCACTCACTAGTCAGCCTCTCACCTGGTGAGTTTATGGATTCTGAGAAAAGACATCGTGCTGGCTCATAGTAAGTCAACTTGACACACAAGATGTAGTCATCTGAGAAGAGAGAATCTCAATTGAGACAATGCTGTAGGCAGGCCTGTAGGGCAGTTTTCTTAATTAGTGATTGATAGGGGAGGGCACAACCCACTGTGAGTGGTACCACCCTGGGCTGGTGGTCCTGAGTTCTTTAAGAAAGCAGGCTAGGCTAGCCAGAGGAGCATACTCCTCTGTGGCCTCTGCATCAGCTCTGGCCTCCAGGTTCCTGCCCAGCCTCAAGTCCTGCATTGGCTTCTCTCAATGGACTATGACTTGAGATATGTAAGCTAAAACAACCCTTTGCTCCCCAAATTGCTTTTGGTCGTGGTGTTTCCTCACAGCAGTAGTAACTCTAACTAAGACAGACATGCTCCGGGTTTCGACAAATGGATCAAAGATTCTGCTTTGGCAAACTCAATTAGATGGAAAATTAAACTTTCTGTCTTAATTGCACTTTGCTGTAGAACAGTGACAACTCCAGGCTCCAGGAGGGTTTTCTCACAGAGCCTTGGTGTTGCTTGTTAGCATGTGCATGTTATTGGTTCCACCTGTACATCCATATTTAAATGTGTGTGCTTTGTGCAGAATTGTTTACTATGCATAAAAGCCAATTGGTGTTAACTTTGACACATGCAGATGACGAAGAAATGAACAACAACAGAAAACTTATGGCAAATGTTACAGCCTGAAACATCAGGAAGAGTCCATTAAGACCCTCCGTAGCTCTCTCACATTCCACATGTATGTTTTAAATATGTTGGTAAATATGAACAGTGTTGGGTTCTGAAGACTGAATCAAGGGTCACTTTGGGAACACCTCACTCACGTTGCTGATCAACCACAGCACTGGGTGGTGATGCCATTTATACACCAGCTTGCTCCCTTGCTTTTTTTTTTTTAATTTAGTGTGTTTTCTTTTGTTTTAAGACAGGGTCTCTCATAGACCGATGTGACTGAATTTCTAATCTTTCTGCATCTCCCTCCTGAGTGCTGAAATTCCAGGCCTGTGCTACCACACGGTTTTGTGTGGAACTGGGAATCAATGGCTGGGCTCTGTGCACACCAGAGAAGCACTCTCCCAACTGAGCTGCATCCCCAGCGCTTTAGCCTGGCTTTCAGAGAAAAACAGCTAAATTTTCTCAAAGACAGCATCTTCTCTAGCATCTTCTCTAGCCCCCAAAATTAACTTCCTGGGAACTACGTAAAGTAGTCTAAATACAGATTGAATGACGGTTCCGTCATTGTTTCCCACTGGACAAGTGTTCGGTATAAGTTAAAAACATTGCAAGTTGAATACCTACTTTCCTCACTAACGCTCAGTTGAGTAAATTTTCTTATACTTTTGCAATATTCTTGCCTCAGCTCAAACTTTCAAATAAGTGTAGTGACACTTCACTTGACAATAGAAATTTTTCTCAATACTACCAATCTCTTTAAGACATATGAAAACTTGACTCTTATTTGTATACTTCTAAGCTACTCAACTGTTTGCCAATATTGTCTCCATTATATTTAATTTCACAAAAGTAAACAGCAAAATATCCAGTCAAAACATATTACATTTGAAAGTTTCTCTATATGGCCTGCTGATACCAGAGGCAGTTTTAATGAAACACCCAGGCTGACATACAGGCTAAATGAAAGCCATGGGGAGACCAGCCAGAGAGGAAGTGAGTGAGAAAAACAGGGCACCAGGAACCTGGCAATGGGATTCCCTCTCCTCAGAAACTCACAGAATAACCTGGAACAGTGTGCACTCATGTCCACTCGTTAATAATTGTAGTCCAGTAACTTTTTCTGTTTTACTGAAAATAATTTTAATTCTCCACAATGCTGTCTAAAAGCTTTATGCCTTCGTTATTTACTGACTTTGTGAATGAAATGCTGAAATGGGAGGCCCTAGCTTCCTTACACCTAGCTTCCTTGACTTTTCTTTTTCCATTTAGAGAAAGGTAAAGTGAGGGGGGAGAACCTAAGAATAGGGTGGAAAACATCTTAAAATAATGATTACAGATGACCTACCACTGCAGATAAAGACAAGGACAGGGTCGATAGAAAAGGTTTGCTTTAATCCTAAATCACATCTAACAAAACTGGATATCCATGAGTGTGTGTGTGTGTGTGTGTGTGTGTGTGTGTGTGTGTGTGTGTGTGTTTGTGTGTGTGTGTCTGTGTGTGCACGCACATACACATGCACAACTCCTTTCAGCTCGATAATTACAGGAAAGGGTGGCTTGTGAATGTCAGAAATAAATACAGTTGATCTACTTTTGGCATGAATAGGAAAAGTGCCCAACAGAACACACACATACACACACACACACACACACACACACACACACACACACACACACACACACTTTAGAAGGACAGAGTTACAAGAATGAAAGTCACAGCTCCAGGAACATAGGAAATATAAAGAAGAAACTGACCTGGGTCCTGTCGCCGCCCTATGGAGGTCTGCATGTAGAGACAGGAGACATGGTTTGGGACCACCCAGAAACAGTTACAGAGAGACACCTGAGACACACACAACCGTAAAGAGGCGGATCACACTTGTGGGGAGGGAGCAGCCACACCTTCCAGGAGAACAGCAGGGAAGCTGGAGTTTTACCAAAGTTCTGGGCAGGAAAAAGTTTTCACGAAAGAGCAAAGCCTTATGATACAGTTTGTGTCCCAATGTACTTTGCCTGCGCTGTGCTATAAGCCTGTGACCAATAAAAACATCATCATTAGGAATCTTTATGACTTTTAGACTACAATGGTATAATCCCCAGGAAATACTATTAATTTTTTTAAAAGACAAAAAAGCAGGTGCTGAACAGTATGAAAAGTATGTTTGTATTTCCTAAGGAAAGAAATTATAGATTTGGTTTCATTCTAAAGAATCAAATGAGAAGTCGAAAGCTAATTAAAATCCTTCCTGCAGGAAAGGAAAAGCATGGGGGTGGGTAAAAAAGGAACATCTGAAACCAGACTTCCTAAATTTGTCTCATTTGCTTCTTTTAAAACTGTATGAGAATTTAAGATAATTATAAAATAAATATAATTAATCATTGTAAAGCTTAGCCCCTGGATTTAGATGTTATAGAAACTCTGAGAAGGAAATGAAGTGGCTGAGGAGGAGCAAAAGGGAGCACGTGACACTAAGGTGAAAAGGGACTGTTAGGTGTGGGAGGGCGCAGGAGGAGGAAGGGAGATGGGGAAGAGTCGGGATGGGAAAAGAAGCTGCAGAAATGAATTGTGTTTGTAACTGGCTTCGAGGTAAGCCAGTGAAAAAGAAAGTCGTACAAAATAAACCTCCATATCACGTTTCTGACTTCAACAATTATTCCAAATAATTTCAGAGCAAATCAATAAAAAAATTCTCAATGAGTACTAAACAACTACACAGAATTTCTGAATTGTTTTCAGTAGCCATATTGTTAGCACTGACATTGGTATTATTAATATTAACATTGAAGTATTAAATAATTTTATTAATGTTATTAGGATCTATATTTTCAACATGAGAGACCAGAAACATCAAAACACACAAAAAAAATGAGCAAAATCGCTTTAATATTGAATCTAAATTAAGGAATGCCATGAGAAACGCCTATTTGCAATGTTGGTCGTGAAAATTTCTGTTTTGGAACACTCCTGTCCCTCTGGTAAGTATTCCTTGTACCTAAACTGTTCGTACAATATGGTTAAGCTAAGCCCCTGTTGTCTTTCTGAAAGTCTGGTATTGTGAGCATCCCAAGCAGAGGATACACCTACATGGCCAGTCTTCAATAAATACCCTGGGCAATAAGTCTCTAGAAAAAGTCTCTAGTAGACACTGCAGACATGTCAGAACTCATTTCTGAGGAAACTCATGTTTTGTATGGCTCCATAAGAAGGTCCTTGGAGCTGCTCCCTCAAAACTCAACTTCATTTTCCTGCATTCTAAAATTGTACTTCTGCAATAAAACATGCTAGTCATGATTATGACATTGTGTTGAGTCCTGCACATCCTTCTGGGGAATCACTGAACCCAGGGGTCAGGGGCTTGTCTTACCAAGTTAAAAAATAACTGTTTTCTTCAACAAACAAATTAACAATGCAAAAAAATACATAAAGAATTAAAAAAAATAGATATCACAAGGCAAAATAATCCAATTAAAAACTAGGGAACAGATCTAAATAGAGAATTCTCCAATAGAGTCCCAAATGGCTGAGAAACACTAAAAGAAATGTCCAACATCTTTGCCATCAGAGAACTGCACATCAAAACCACTTTTTTTCTATTTTAGTTAGTTAGTTATTTTACATCCTGACCACAGTTTCCCCACCCTCCTCCAATTCACCCCCTCTACTCTCCTCCAATTCACTCCTCTTCTGTTTCTGTTCAGAAAGGGGCAGACCTCCCATGGGTATCAACAAAGCATGGCATATCAAGTTGCAGTAAAACTAAGCTCCTCCCCTTATTACGCTGGGCAAGACAGTCCAGTATGAGGAATAGGTTTCCAAAAGCCAGACAAAGTGGTAACCCAGGCTCCCATTATTAAGGGTCCTACAAGTAGACCAAGATACACAACTGTCACAGATATGTAGAGGGCTTAGGTCAGTCTCATGCAGGCTCCCTGGTTATTAGTTTTTCTGTGTGTTTTCTTGTGATGCCCTTGACCCCTCTGGCTCCTACAGTCTTTCCTCCCTCTCTTCAGCAAGATTCCCCGAGCTTGACTTAATGATTGGCTGTGGGTCTCTGCATGTGTTTCCATCAATTACTGATGAAGGCTCTCTGATGACAATTGGAGTAGTCACCAATGTGATCACAGGAGATGACCAGTTCAAGCTATGTATCCACGACTGCTAGCAATCTTAGCTGGGGTCATCCTTGTAGATTCCTGGGAGTTTCCCTCACATCAGGTTTCTACCTGACTCCAAAATGCCCCCCTTTCCAGTCATCTCTTTCAATACTCTCCCCTTCCACCTAGTCCCCCACAACCGTATCAATCCTTTGAATTCCCATCCTCACCTGCCCCCAGTTTACCCATGAGATCTCTTCTATTTCTCCTTCCTAGAAAGATCCATGCTTCCCACCTTAGGTTATCTAGTCTCTCTGTGTCTGTGGATTATAGCATGATTATCCTTCACTTTACAGCTAATATCCACTTATGAGTGAGTACACACCATGTTTGTCTTTCTGGGTCTGGGTTACCTCACTCAGTATGATTTTTTTCTAGTTCCATCCATTTTTCTCCAAATTTCCTGATGTCATTTTTTTTTTTTTTTTGGTTTTAGATACAGGTTTCTCTGTGTGTAACTCTGGTTGTCCTGGAACTCACTCTGTAGACCAGGCTGGCCTTGAATTCACAGAGATCCACCTGCTTCTGCCTCCTGAGTACTGGGATTAAAGGAGTGTGCCACCACTGTCTGGCCTGATGTCATTGTTTTTAACAGCTGAGTAAATTGTGTAAATATACCACATTTTCTTTATCCATTCTTTAGTTGAGGAACGTCTAGGTTGTTTCCAGGTTCTATTATGAATAAAGCTGCTATCAATATTGTTGAGCAAGTGTCTTTGTGGTAGGGAGGAGCATCCTTTAGCATCTAAGAGTGGTACAGCTGGGTCTTAAGGTAGATTGATTCCCAATATCCTGAGGAACCGCCATGTTGATTTCCAAAGTAACTGTACAAGTTTGTACTCCCATCAGAAATGGAGAAGTGTTCCCCTTGCTCTACACCCTCACCAGCATAAGCTGTCATTTGTGTTTTTGATCTTAGCCATTCTGACATGTGTAAGATGGAATTTCAGAGTCATTTTGATTTGCATTCCCCTGATGGCTAAGGATGTTGAACATTTCTTTAAGTGTTTCTCTGCCATTTGAGATTCTTCTGTTGAGAATTCTCTATTTAGATCTGTACCCCAATTTTTAATTAGATTATTTGGGTTTTTGTTGTCTAGTTTCTTGAGTTCTTTATATATTTTAGAAATCAGCCCTCTGTTGGATATTGGGTTGATGAAGGTCTTTTCCCCATTTGTGGGCTGCTGTTTGTTCTATTGACAGTGTCCTTTGCCTTACAGAAGCTTTTCAGTTTCATGAGTCCAATTTATTAATTGTTGATCTTAGCATCTATGCTACTGGTTTTCTATTCAGGAAGTTATTTGCTGTGCTAATACATTCAAGGCTATTTCCTACTTTGTCTTCTATCTTGTTCAATATAATTGGATTTATGTTGGGGTCTTTAATCCACTTGGACTTGAGTTTTGTGCAGGGTGATAGATATGAATCTATTTGCATTCTTCTACTTGCTGACATCCAATTATGCCAGCATCATTTCTTGAAGATGCTTTCTTTTTCCATTTTATAATTTTGGCTTCTTTGTCAAAAATCAGGTGTCCATGTGAATTTATATTTGGATCTTCAATTCGATTCATTGCTCCACCTGTCTGTTTTTATGCCAATGTCATTCTGTTTTATTATGATAGCTCTAGAGTAGAGCTTGAGGTCAGGGATGGTGATGCCTCCAGAAGTTCCTTTATTGTACAGGATTGTTTTGGCTATCCTTGGATTTTTGTTTTTCCATATGAAGTTGAGTATTGTTCTTTTGAGGTCTGTGAAGAATTGTGTTGGAATTTTGATGAGGATTTCGTTGAATCTGTAGATTGCCTTTAGTAAGATGGTCATTTTTACTATTAATGCTATAGATCCTTGAGAATGGGAGGTCTTTCCATCTTCTGACACCTTCTCCAGTGTCTTTCTTCAAAGACTTGAAGTTTTTGTCATACAGGTTTTGTACCTGCTTAGTTAGAGTTACCCCAAGGTATTTTAATATTGTTTATGGCTATTTCAAAGGGTATTGTTTTCCTGATTTCTTTCTCAGCCCTTTTATCATTTGTGAATAGGAGGGCTACTGATTTTTTTTTTAGTTAATCTTGTATCCAGCCACTTTGCAAAAGGTGTTTATCAGCTGTAGAATTCCATCTTACACCCATCAGAATGACTAAGATCAATAGCATAAGTGGCAGCTCATGCTGGAGAGGATATGGAGCAAGGGGGGAACACTCTTCCATTGCTAGTGAGAGTGCAAACTTATACAGTCATTGTGGAAATTAGTATGGTGATTCCTCAGAAAGACAGAAATCAATCTACCTCAAGATTCAGCTATACCACTCTTGGGCATATGCCCAAAGGATGGTTCATTCTACCACAGGGACACTTGCTCAACCATGTTCATAACTGTTCTTTTCAAAATAGCCAGAAACTAGAAAAAACCTAGGTGTCCCTTATCAGAAGAATGGATGAAGAAAATGTGTTACATTTACACAATAGAGTATTACTCAGCTGTTTAAAAAAAATTACATCATGAAATTTGCAGACAAATGGACAGAACTGAAAAAAAATCATCCTGAGTAAGGTAACCCAGACCAAGAAAGATAAATATGGCATGTATTCACTTATATGTGGATATTAACCATTAAATAAATGATA